CCCCTATCCTCTTTAAGAAACAACCTGTACTCCAGAAAGAGGACTGCACTACATAAGCAAGTCATTTTCCTTTCCTGATACCTATAAAAGGCAGGACCAGAAAATAAAACAGTTTTAACCTGCCAAACTTTCCCCAGCTCTTTGGAGGCGAGTTTGCCCTTTTAAGATCATGCGCTGAGGGACCCACAGAGGAACCCGCCAAGAAGAGCAAGAGCTCTGAATGTTATAACCATTCACTCACACCAGCTAAAAGCTTTCATACTCCAGATGTCAACTACTGTCCCTAGCAAAAAAAATTTAACAGGGAACATTATTGAAGATCCACAAAAGGATCATGATTCTTCAGAGCTGGAATATTATTTTAAGAAATCAACAGTACCCTAATTAATAGTGGAGCTGAAGGTTTCTAATGCAGAACATGAATCCACTGTCAGAATACTAAGAATCTGTTTAATTACAGTCTGAAAAACAGAAACAGCTCGAAACAGTATGGTTCTCTTTCCATGGGTTATTTTACCTACAAATCCCTTCTTTGCTACTAGGAATCAAACTGAAGGAAGATATAAAAAAGCCTTAGTTTGTTTAGGATTAATTAAAACAACTGAATCCTGTTCTTTGGGAAGTTATCTTCAATTTCTGAAGATGAAAACAACTCGTATTTATGACATTCACAGAACAGTGAAGTCTCTCAGTCTTCAGAATGTAAAACTATTTTTTTTTGTGAAATAATACAATCACTGACAGTTGTTAAGAGACAGCTATTGATTAACAAAGTGCCTGTGCTTCACTTGAACAGATTAAAGAAGGAAGTATGGTTGTCCAAACTAAAGCTAATCAGCCAGGTTTTCAGAGGACCTAGGAAACATAAGGAATCTACCCACTGTTTATGTGCACGTGTCTATGTAAGTATGTGTATACTTGCTGCAGTGTTAAGGGGAGGTGAAAGCACAACTTTCTTGCTAGGACTTCTACTTAAGGTTGTCACTCTCAGCATCCTAAACCACAAAATATTTTAAGTCCTCTTGGAAACAAAATAAACAAGCCGAACTGCAAAAAAAAAAAAAAAAAAAAAAAAAACCAAAGAAAACACAGAACTTTTATGATGGGTAAATATAATGTATAGAAACATTTTTAAGCAGTTCAACTAACCTCTGGCCTCTACCTACACTTGCATACACGGGCCTAACTGGCTCTGAAATCAAGACAGTTACTAAAAAAAACTCCAGCAAAACTTAAAGAGTACAATGGTTGAAAAACCACTTCTGCATAAGTAATCTGAAGAGCATCCCATCTAGCTGCAGTTGCTAGAACTTTACTTCTAAAATTAATAAACAGTGCGTCCACGCGAGATCTGAGCATTAAAGGATTCATGAAGAATGAGCAAAACTAGTTTTGCAGGTCATACTCCTTACGATCCTAATGACATAGCCATGAACCCTGCATGTGAGAAACCCTAAGAAATCTCAGACACTAAATGCAAGACCAATTTTCCTCTAGGTCGTAAGTTAGGATCAAGCCTCCCACAGGAGATGCGATCATCACAACGAACGCCAAGCTACCCCAGAAACAACACCAGACAAGGCCATAGATAAACTATTTGCTCAAGCAACACTTCTGCCATCTACTTTTGCAAGCTATCCTTAATGCTGGGGACTAAAATGGGACTAAAATAATAGCAGAAATCCCTTGCTTTTGCCAAACTGCAAAACAATACCAAGTCCCAACACTAGGCTGCTTTATTTGTTGCCATGATGGAAACCTAGATGCTCACTTAAGGTTAGAAAGCATACTTTCAGCCAAACCAGCCAGAGAAATCCAGTGGAGATATTAGAACTTCTCCCAGAAACACTACGTTCTTTTTCAATCAGTTTCGAATTATGGCTTTTATTAATAAACTACCAGATTCTCAGTGCCTCCTTTAGGTTAGCCTAATGACATTTTTAGTGTTCAAATTCGCCGTGGGAAAGACAACTACTGCTTAACTAGAGGACTTTCTCAAGAGTGTTTTCTGTCTTTTCATCTCACACTTTCCTCAAGGGGCATTAATTTTGTTCAGTCTTTTTAGAGAAGGAGATGGAGCCCCCAAACAAAAGCACTCTTTTTTCAGTTTGCTCTTCTTTCCAGATTTCTTCTGTTCTGCCCATTTTCCACATCTCCAAGCACTCAGGGAATCCAAGCATGGAAACCTCAGATTAAAAACAAATCATCTAATCCTGGGGACAAGTGGCAAACTACTGCCTAGAAATCTGTAGAAAGCATTCTAACAGGCATTACAAGAAGGAATGTTACCTCGCAGATTTGTTAAATACCATTCAAACATTTTGAACACTGCAACCCTAGATGTAAGCACATGCCTCAGAGACTGACTGCCCTCGTAACACTAGCCATCAGACATACCCACTGACAAGTTATAAGGCTAGCAACAGGTTTTAGGACGCAACAGTCATCAGGCACATGAGAGAAACGGAAACTAATTTTCATTTCAAAAAGTGAGATCATATTATTCAAATTCTCTTAGTGTCCGGAGTATCCCAGAAATAGTCTATCATCCCTGTAAAGCAAAGTTCAGTCCCCAAGAGCTACATCAGGTTAGAATAATTTTAGGGGACCACCTTTAATTAGGCTGCTGCAACTTTCTGCTGACAGAAGCTAAGCTGAGTCTTTTTCAAATTCAAAATGCAATGAGAGCCCAAAGCCTCAGACCCTAACCCCTTTGATTCCTCAGAATGAAGTTCTCCTTTATGACTGCACATAGCTTTACATCTAAACACCTGCAAATAAATGCTATTTTACCTAGGTTTTAAGTGTATTCAAAGCTAACAACTGAAAACTCCGATTTCAGCACACTACTACTAGACTGAGTATGCATCCATAATGATCACACAGGATATGTTTCAAAGTAGGGTTTTAACATATTTTTGACCTTGGAATTTTGAAACTGACAAGTAATTTTCAAATCCATTACAAACATCTGAGTCACCAACCTTTGAAAGACTTAAATTAGTCAAGCTTTCACTATAAATAACAAATGTAGTGGTACTATGTTCATCTAGTCAGGTTCCAAAGCATGAACATTAAATATTTATTTTCCAACAGTCATATCTCAGAACTACAGAACTGAAGAATATTTTTGTGAAAGTCAAAACAAAGAAACAAGTATTTCACCTGTAGATTTCTGGAGTAATCAATTAATAATTATATATTGACTAAAAGCAGCAGAAAATGTTCTTTTGGCAAGTCTACCTCCTTCCATTCTCTCCCCTTTAATCCTGCCTCTGGTAACACATCTAATCTCATCTGGTCAATGAAATAACATTTAATTCAAACTAACTTTTCTAACTTTGTATGTACAGAAAGAGTGGACTAAGCAACCCTCAACACCTCTAAGAATTATGAGCTTGTTCTCCATGTTCTGCTCCCCATCATAGTAAATGTCCAGACTTGTGATATTTCAATAGGGTCAAAATTTACAGGTTTCCAGATCTGTGTGCAAGTTAGGTTCACAAAAAAATTATACAAAGAAAGTACCTGCTGCCTCCAGTAAGGCTTCTAGTCTTGCTTGTGTTTCTGGATCCACAGTTCTCAAGTCCGCACCTTCTGCAGCACTCGATAAGAATAACTCCGACGTGGTTTTAAGTACTGGGTTATCAAGATCTTCTTGGTCCAAAATAAATGATTCAACCTGTTTGCCAAATTAGAAAAATAATTTTACCATTTTTGAAGCTTTATACTACATCTAAAATGTTAGAAAAAAACACAGAAAAAATTAATTTTACTATCATAATCATGTTTTAAGTGCATAGATTGTAGGACATAACCGTAAAAATCACCTGATGAACTCGCTAAAAAGGTAGTTGAAATTACAAAAGATAAAACTCTACCTGAAAAGTAGGTTATCGTAAAAATTACAATTAACAAGATCTTAAACTACAGCATGGACATCTCAGATTAAATATTGAAAAGAAATGGACAGTTTGGGCAGTTAACCACCAAAACCACAAACTGTCAAAACCAAAATCAGAGACTACCACAAGAGGCTGTAGCACCTTCGTCACCAGAAGTCTGTCTACCTTGCTATTAAAAAAACCCACCAGCAATGACTTCGGTACAGCTGAACCTATACGAGAGCCAAGGAGGGATTGAATGGTTTCCCAAGAGGCTTTTCAGTTCTACTTTAAAAGTAATTTCAACTAATGTAGCACGAAGATTTTGTTTGTTTTGAGTAGAAACAGGATAGTTGACTAAAATTCAAAACCAAAACATCTGTTTCCAAGCTGGCACTTGTACTACCCCAGTCATTAATGTTTTCTAGACAAGAAGAGATACATAGAACAATTAAACAAGCAGGTATTCCAACTGAGCAGCAATAATGCTGTCCCACCAGTGGCCTACATTATCTCGAAATACAAGCTCCTGACTTATGCAATATCATGCAATGTAGTTTTATGACAGTTTGTCAAGGTAAACAAGGAGGATATCTGACACATGCAGAACTACATTTCCGAATCCGTCCCAAGTTCAGACATAATTTCCTCTAATTTCAGTAACATTATAAGATAAAAACAGTATTTCACAATTAGACATTATCTGTTCAACACTACTGGTGCCTTAAATATGCCATACAAATGAGACATGCACGTTATACAACCTTTGCCACCCTTTCCCACTTCGTGCCTCAGTCTCATCTTCCTTCCTCTGTTTTTCCCCAATACTTCCCCCTATCTTTCTCACACCAGTAGTAAACTATCATCATATTCAGCCCTACCACTCAACACCCCACAACACCATAAGGAAGGGATAGTTTATACTTCAAAAAAAACAAATCAGGCCATCTGCAAATGAAGTACCCCATGGTGTGAAAAAGGTTAACAGGAGTCTGGAGAGCTACATAGAGCACTGCTATTCAAGAGCAACCAGTGTTAATTTCTTCCCCTTTTTGATACATAAATGTTCTGTGACATTATCCCCTGGTGTCCAAGCCAATTCGTAGGTGCCCAGTGAAACGCAGTGCTAACATCTGAATACAATCTGCATCAGGGAAAAAGTGTGGCTTTTAGAACACAGAAAGTGAGTTCCACATCTCAGTGAATATGCATGATATTGGCAGGCTTACAGGTATTATATCTTGTGTGTCAAGGCACAAATATTAAAGCTAAGACAGCAGGCTATGATTTAGGGCTCCAAGAACCAAGATTACTAGATTAGTCCAGACAATGGTCCTAATCAGAAAAGTGTCACTGTGAGAACAAATTGAACATCAAACAAGCAGAAATTAGTGACCTAAACCAGTGACGCACATTTTCACTACAAACAAAGAGTTACTAACAACTCACAGCATCCCTACAGTAAGATCCCCCTCTGCAGAACTCAAATTCCAGGTTATTGTCTATGTAGTCAACTTAGGGACTCCCCATTGGCATAAGCTCTGATGCAAACCTGACTTCTGGAAAAAGTCACCCTTAGCTACAGGAGTACTTCAGGGTTTTTCATTTTCTCCCCCAAGACTACGCAAGGCACTCTGCCTCACCAATATTTTAGAAATACTATTCCTATTTGGAATAGCCCGATCCTATTGGATGGGCTTCGAGCAACCTGCTCTAGCAGAAGATGTCCCTGCCCATGGCAGAGGGGTTGAGGTAGATGATCTTCACAGTCCCTTCCAACCCAAACCATTCTACAATTCTATTGCAACAATGTTTGTGTGACCTGGTGACCGACAGAAAATCCCACTGTGTGCATAAGTGGCTGTTAGTTACATCTAGTTGAGACCTACACACAAGAAATTTTATTACATGCTAATGAGCACTTCTTCAAATTTTTCAATTACACCACTAAATTTAACAGCAGTCCTCCCTTCAGAGGACATACCAAAAGGGGTAAAAATACTACCTACCATTGAAGAAACCGCACTTACAAACAACAAATACTGCAGAAGTGTTCAAAGTGGCTTCTGGCAAGCCTTAACTTTTAGCCTCAGGAACAGCTTGATAACACCCAGGCAAAGGGATGCACAAATTACAAAACCACAGAATGTTTGGGGTTGGAAGGGACCTCTGTGGGTCACCCAGTACAACCCCCCTGCCGAAGCAGGGTCAACTACAGCAGGCTGCACAGCACCTTGTCCAGGCAGATCTTGAATATCTCCAGAGAAGGAGAATCCAC